GACGTTCATCTTGAATTTTAAATTTTGTCATAATCACAGTATTCTACTAGTGTAGCCCTTTCATTTGATACCCATATTGAGGGGGTTGTAGAAAAATATGAAATCCGCCATTTTGTACCGGCGGCCATCTTAGATTTACAATGTTATTGATATTACTATATTGTATTGTCATCGGAACTAAAGGTGTGTACCAAATTTCAGATCAATCTTACAACAGGAAGGTACTTAAATTTCAATTTCTAATTTTGACCCAAATAAACAAACAAATAAATAAATACCGTACGGGTGGAGCTAAATAAAACCGTTTAATTATTCTTTAGAATCAGCAACAATCAAGACTTAATCAATGGATTAGCAAAGACAAAGAAGAGAACAGCGAATTTAGCAGGGCGCCTGGTTCCTCTTCTAAGCCAGTAGCTACCTCGCCCAATATGGCTCCACTTGGATTAACTCAATCGGACGGGTAAGTGACGTTTCTGTGTCAGTGTTGCCAACTTACAATACCCTCATTTTTTAATCTTTTTTCAACTATTGCTCATAGTGAACCTTTGAAGGGTTTTAAATATTACTAAAATTGTTGCAGTCCATGGTCAAGTGGACGCTCCGGTGATACGGGTTGGCCAGATTCCAGCGGTGGTGATACTTCGAATGACGTAAAAGACGCACAGTGGGCAACGACTGCTCAACCTTCCCTGACTGATTTAGTACCTGAATTTGAACCTGGAAAGCCCTGGAAAGTAAGTACTTTTTACATTATTGTTCAGTTTCGGTAGTTCAGTTTATTATTTACTTCATTTGTAATAAAAGAGCAACTGTAATTTTGTATTGAAAAATATTAATAAATTCGTGTTACTTTTTTTCAGGGCAATCAAATAAAGTCTATTGAAGATGACCCTACTATTACGCCCGGATCTGTAGTGCGTTCACCGTTGTCAATCGCTACTATCAAAGAGAACGAACTTTTCAGTATTAACGCGAACAAGAGTCCTCCAGCTACCGACGCGATGCAACCGCTCAGCTCAACCACGTGGAGCTTCAACCCGCCTACCACTAATGCTTTCACAAGGTAAGGATATAATCTATAAAGATAAACTTGTTATGCAGGGTGTCCCAGAAATAAGTGCAAATATTTTAAGGGGTGGTAGATCTCGATAAAAGAAACATATTTTCTCTTTATCGTTTTTCAAATAAGTCCAAAATAACGGAGTTATTTTACTTTGAAAATTTCCAAAATAAATAATTTTTTGCTAAAATTTTGAGAACCACTGGATCTTTTCTGGATTTTCTTTCTTGTAAATTTAATCTAATACCTATGTTGACATATCATCAACAAATTATGTTTTTTAACTAAAAACTAAAAAAAAATCCAAAAAAAAATTCAAAAAATTTCGAATTTTCAAAAAAAATTTTCGCGAAAGAAAACTTCATAGGCGTGTTTCTGGGATTGAATTATACTACCAGTTAAAATATTTGCACTTATTTCTGGGACACCCTGTATAAGAGAACCTGTAAAGCTCCTCCTACACATAACGCTTTCCTTGTCAGTTGTATGTGTCAGGTAGTAAACAGAAGACCGTCTAGAAAGCTGACGGTCTTGCGTCTTAAGGCGAGTCTGGTTGTATACTGGTTGTATTTAAAGACATTTGATTGGTTAGATCAACTTTTGATTTCTAACCACAATTTCTCTTGACAGAAGATAATCAAAGGCCAAAATAACATTTCTTACACAAATTTTGAAGTATAATTAGTGGAAAAGTTAAAAGTTTGGTAACTTTTTCTACTAATTGAAAATGTCTACCACCCTAATTTTGACTTTCTGAACGCTTACATTGAAATTAAAGGAACAAAATTCTACACTAATTGAAACCACTAATCTATTCCACTAATTGCGAGGTTCTGAATGAAGCTTAAATGTCTCAAATTTGTCAACAAAAAGTAAGGTTAGATTACAGTTATCAAAACATCCGTCTTGGTTGACGGACCGGGGTTACAAATTTTTGGATGAAAAGTGTCGCGAAAACACTATGACCAATCAGAGCGCCGCGCCATCGGATTGTAGTATCAACGGATGACGGATAAGTGAAATTCCACCTTTAACTCCGTTTAGAGTCTAGACATGACGTTTTACCAGGTAAAACGGATTAATCCCTCAGGGGGTTCTTGAACTGAGCCAGGAGCTCGACAAGAGGACTACGGGGTACAACGCCCCCAAGGTTACCTGAGTCACACACACACACACACCCGCACATGATTACAAAAAAAGATAACTGTAAGAGCGGACGAGGTAAGAAAACGCCAGCTGGCGTAATCAACACCTCATCGGAAAGAGAGCTACTTGCTTCCACTTAGGAGGCAGTGGTTTATAAGAGCGACAGTGAGGGAAGTACCAGACACAGTTTATCCCGGTCACAAAACAACGTATAATGACGTTATATCAAGTTAAACTTCAAAATTCATAATTACTACCTGAAAACATTTTCTTAATAAAGTAAAACCAAAAAGCTTCAAACTTTCTGTATGATTATTTTTAATTTTTTAAGTATGTTATGTTTTTTTTATGTTATGTTCTTTAAAATCAAAGAAGCGATTGCCATACATTACTAACATCTACAGACGCATGAGCAATACATTTATTTTTATTAGGTTATATTATAATCTTTTTTATTTTTCTCTTAGAGGCTATTGCTTCTTCCATTACCATTTTTAAAAATAACTATTTTATTTTGTAAATTTTCTTACAGTAGTGGCGAAATACCCATAGATTTTTTTGGAGAAAATCTGTCTCGTCTTGATTTCTAATTGAACGTTACAACACAGTTTAAGATAATTTCGATATATTTGTTGGTTGAGATTTAACCACAAAATTTGTTTATTGAATGTTTTTAGACTGTTTAAACAGAAATCGTCAGAAGAATAGCATCAACTCACTGAATGTGTAAAAGAAAGATATATTAGTACAAAATGGATTTCACAAACCAGTTTGCGCAAATTTTGAGAGTTTAAATTCCTCTTTAAGCTCAAAAAATCCGATGCAAAGGTTACTGAGGCTACCAAGAGGCAGGGTTCTCAAGGCGAATCACCAAAAACCAAGAGAACCAAAGTTTCTGGAGCAAAACACACCAGTCAGCCGTCGACTAGTCGAGAGGGCTAACCCAAGAACGGTAAAATAATAGGATTGCCCATCCTCATAAGACGTACGTTCGCCTCTTCCCGCGCTTCAGCTGACAGTTGTGACGTCATTGTAGTCCTTGTCAAAGCCTTCGTGGCCTTGTCATGATAGTGTGTATTATTAGTTGCCTATGGTAAACTTATAAAATAACAGCTGAGAAATTTTGAGTTAATTATTTTGTCAATTTTAAATGTGAAAAGGTGTCTTTAAAGTTGTTAGAGCTATAGAGTGTATAAATACGTTCATTTTGTTATTGTGGATTGTGACAAAGTGCATACTAAGTGCCCACGATTTTGTTTATTAATTATTTTAAAGCAAAATATGGAAGTACTCTAAAAAGAATGCTTGCAAAAGGTGATGCTGGGACCTGCTGTTCTTAAAAATGCATTATCCAAGTATTTAATACGATTTATACAGTTAATTTTCTATACTGCATACATATAAGGTGTTTAAATAAATAAACTAAATAATGAACGTTTTGCATTCGGTAACCAATAATGCACGTGTGGGTATTATTGGTTACCGGATAAGGACTAATAACCATGACACGGGCTACAATGACGCCACAAAGCGAGTAGTTTTTGCATGCACCTGGCGGACACTTGGCTGAACGAGCAGTCCTATTAGGTTAACTGTTCTTGGGGCTAACCAACGAGCTGGTACGCAACCACCTCAGATTGGCTCTCGTGACTGAAAAGTCGACCAAAACTGACTAACCGTGGTTAATGATCGAAATGATCGATTTTGAGAGCACAGAAGGAGCGCCTCTTCCTTGTTTTGAGTCCCCTGAAATTATCAGAGGATATCTGGTGATCAGGTGGGGGGATTTTTCTGGACGGCATCGTTGCCAGGATTAGGCGACGATGGAGAGGGAGATCTGACTCATTCCGAACCAACGAAATTCCCAGAGACTGAGGGCTCACATCTGGTTGCTTAAGATGCGGAACGAGGGAGGGAAGCTTCTGAAACTGCTTATAACGAGTACATACTAGCGTTTTGATTACGGCAGTGATGGCGAACCTATGACCCTATCGTGAGTTAGTCAGTATCCTACTTTGTTTACACGGGTTTATTTTGATTTTCTAATTTGTGTGGATAATTTATATTTTATTTGTATTTTTACAAGCACTGTGGCATTGACACAAAAGCAATTTAAATACTGTCTATAACCTTCAGTTTGATTTTTTGTGTTTACAAAATACCAAAGTGTATAATTTTACTCATAGTTTGTTTTTGAACAAAAAAATCGTTAAACCACGCCATTTTTACTAGTTAAGCCAATTGGATTTAAACATGTTTTTTTTTAAATACTCAGTAAAATTTGTTAAACTTAACTCTGGTACAAAGGAGCATCGGTGACCTACAAGCTAGTAGTAAAAAAAGTATGAACAAAATTTGACCCACGCGTTAAAAAGGTTTGCCATCCCTGACCTACGGTTTTTACGAATTATAACATAACATTATGTTTAGAGTGAAGTTGAAAATCATAAACATGGATTTTTATTACAAAATAATATTTATGCTTCAAAGTTCATTTGTAAACTCAAGCTAATTGTGACATTGACACTGTGTTTTTTCTTCTACACACAATGTTTATTTATTTATTATTACAAACGGTAATCTATTTTACATT